TGAAGCCTCTGAATTCAGCAGGTGTCTTATGGGGAAAACTGGCCATGCATCTGAGATTCCGCCAGTCTTGAATTTTGTCACTCTGGGTTCCACATAACCAACAAACCCTTAATTTTCTCCAGAAGTAGCCTTCAGCCTGGATCAAATTCTAATCCTTAAGCCATGCCCAGAATCATCAAATGTCCTCAGTGGGGGAAAAAACCTCCTGATCATCAGCTTTCCCTCTCTGAAGTTATAGTCTGTCTTGTCCTCATTCCTCCCATAGGTCTCCCACAGCTTTTTAAATTAATATTTTGAAATTTATCCAGCTTTTCTAATTGTTTGAGCAGGAACCTTGCCCTGCCACAACCTACTGCATTGTGCTCAGAAACAGAAAATCACATATGTTTCCCAACCGCCGTTGCTGCTTCCGTCCCGGCCGCACTGTTGGCTATCTGCCGCACAGAAGCCAGGCTGATCCTTTTCCTTTTCCCTTTTTCAGTCTTATTAGGTAGAACTATTACAGTTTGACTGCACATATACATTATATTGCATGTAAATACGTATATACAATATACTGCACGTATTTTTTTAGTTTATCTATATGTACTGATCATTATTTCCAAGGACAGATTAGAACTTCAGCTTTTTAAACTTGCATAGTTATCAAAGGAACTAAAGCCAACCACAAAATGAGAATCAACAGAATGCGGTACTCCAATCATAAAGCACAGTCAGATGTGCTCACACATATTCAAGAAATCAATCATCTAAGTTATAAATAATAAGTAGTTCATCTGTGTCCTTTTTTCTTAGATTCCACAAATAAGTGGTATCATACGGCATTTTTCTTTCTCTTTCTTGCCGACTTCACGTAGAACAACAATTTTCAGGTACGTCCATGTTCAGACTGACTCTTTTAAACCTTAAATCAGATCACATCACTCCCACTGCACTTATAATAAAATCCAAACTCCTTACCGTGCCTTCAAGGGCCTCATGCTCTCGCCCTGACACTTCCCTAACCCCATCTCTTGGCTTTCTCTTCCTTGCTCACTGTGCTTCAGAATAGTGAACAAAATTTTACTACTAGATATATTCTGTGGGTAGGTGCTCAGGCCTTCCAGTTACGCCTCAAGCATGCTCACTGGAAACCTGCTCTTGTCCACGGTCTCACTCTATCTTAGAGCATAAGACCTTGAAGACCAGGGGCACTGTATACCTTTTTCACCTATTTTACGCCCAGCACCTAAAATAGGCCCTGGCCATATCATAACTGCTAGATGAATTTTAACTTAATCAATGAGTGAATGAAACTGAAGCTGCCTTGGCTGCAATGTGGCTGGGTATTAAGTCCTGCTTAGTCCTCTTTACCACCTACGACAGCCCAGATAATTGAGAACTAACTGCATATTTTTTAACAAATTTAATTAAACTCTTACAGGAGCCCTGAAACATGTCCAGAGCAAGGTGGGGTTCCAAGTATCACACTTTGGAAATTAAATGGATCACCAAGATCCCTTTTAGTTCTAATATTCTAGTCAAAGATAACATGGTAGGAGAAGAGTTGCAGCTGAATATCCTAACAGATCTGCTTCAGTGATACGTTTTGGGGGGCAAGAAAAATATATGTCCTGAGATGTCATAATAATGAAGCGGCTGAATATTAAAGGCAAGAAGATCAGTAACTATGCACTTACTTCACAGCCCCTACTTATTTTCTAGAGAAACCTTTTCACTGCAGTGCCCAGGTTTTATGAACCCAATCAAAATCAGTTCTAGGACTCCCTCTGAACAAAAAGGACACTCTTCTCCAGAACGCACTGGAGTCTACACAACCAGACATGTTTCTGGCAGTTTCATGTTTGTAACTCAGATTGTTGCAGTTTTGCAGTGTGGGTTCATTAAGAGCTTAGGCATAGTTATACAAGTCTCCCTTGCAGGTGAGATGGGAAACAAGCAAGTGTTCCCACTGACCTAGGCTCTACTTCCGTGAAGATGAAAAAGGATTTCATGTATACAGAACTTCACGAAGGCAGTGGCCACATAAGGCCCAGACACGCCCAGCCTCCGGAAAGGACTGCACTGCATCAGGAGAGCCCATTAGCAGTCACTCACACCGACCTGGTACTTCCTTTCCGCCTCTACAGAAAGCATCACTTCGCTCTCTCTCTCTCTCTGCAAAACTTCCCATCATTCCTCAAGGCAAGACTTCCCTGAAGCACCAGCTCAGAAGCCACAAAGGCTGCTGGCTGTGCCTTCGGTGCCTATCCCTGCCCACTGTGATATGTATCCTCCATGATTCCGTGGCCTCAAGGAGGGCATGGTTTGGTTCTATTTGCTTAAATAAAATAACATAAAAAGCATGAGTTGTTTTAAAGACGAAACTCATTGAGTTAAAACTTAAAATGAGCAGTAAGTACCTCAGACTATGTAAAAATTATTTAAGGACAACCTAAATCCATGACTGGAAGGTAAATTATTCTATGAGTGAGATAATGCAAATTTTCTCCGGTGTTTTTCTTAGCTCAATTTATTAGCATCATCAAATATTATTGTAACACACTCATAGGCCACAACTAATATTCTACATCTAAGAGAAAAGTTCAAGGTAATCTGAGATTTACACAAGTTCTACTTACTTTTCATAAATAACCTTTAACTTCCAAGTATTCATGTTAGATATAGGTAGTTACCAACAAAACACTTGAGAATTTTTCGTGCTAGTACAGCTAGATTTTGCAAAGACAAATATGATTTCTCTTCAAGTTAGCCTTTAGAATTCAGATACTTAAAATACTTCTTACTTCTGGGATGAGATCAAAATTGAAAATACTTTTGTCTCTAGATTCTCAGGAGCATGATGACCAAATAAATAAAAACTATTACTTTTCACTTGTAAGCCTTAGCCTCTAATTCAGAAGTTTCAAATGGTCGCCAGTAGACCAAGTCACATATAGATGAGTTTTATTTGACCCACACAGTGTTTTTTCAAAATCTGAATTCATTGCCAACATTTAAAAATCAAGAAATGTCACTTTAAAAATCCCGATGTTCAGCCTGTCTTGAAAAAGCCTTTGTCAGCTGCACCATGCACAGAGCGCCAGCCTGAGCAGTAAGTGGGGCTGACATCCACGCACACTCGTTTGCCAGGTCCACAGCCACTAAGAGGAAGGAATGTCTTTCTCTAATCTGCACAAAGGTGCTAGATAGTCCAGTAATGACACACAGCAGCAATCATCTGGAAGATTTAGACAGAAGATGTAAGTTTGAATTTCCTGCAGTCCCCACCACTCATGATTACCCTCTTGCTTCTCCTTGTTTCTCTGCAGACATTTGAGTTTACAACTGTCGGACAACGTCAAAAGGAAACAACACTTTTGTGTATTCAACTAAACAACATAAGTTGACATCCACTTTGCAGAGGCAGATTGCCCAGCTGCTGATACCAACACACACACTCAGCAGTCAGGCTTCACACTCAGATAGACCTGGCAGCTGTCTAACGCTGGGAACGTTATGGGGCCTGTCTATCAACTTCCTTATCTGGAAAATTAGACTAATACTACCTACTTTATAAGTTTGCAAATTAAAATGCAGATTAAATGAGATGACATGTAACATAATGCTTAGTGTATTTTAGGTATTTTTTAGTTAGTTGATTTATACTGTTGTGTTAATTTCTGATGTACAGCAGAATGATTCAGTTATTTCTTTTCATATTCTTTTTTTTATTCAAGTACAGTCAGTTTACAATGTTGTGTGAATTTCTGGTGTACAGCACATTGCTTCAGCCAAACGTGAACATACATATATTCATTTTCATATTCTTTTTCACCATAAGCTACTACAAGATATCGAATATAGTTCCCTGTGCTGTACAATATAATCTTGCTTATCTATTTTATATATATACCAGTCACTATCGGCAAATCTCAAACTCCCAATTTATTCTTTCCCATCTCCTTCCCCTCCCCGGTAACCATAAGTTTGTTTTCTATGTCTGTGAGTCTGTTTCTGTTTTATATATAAATTCATTTGTCTTTTCTTTTTTTAGATTCCACATATGAGTGATCTCATATGATATTTTTCTTTGTCTTTTTACTTCACTTAGAATGACATTCTCCAGGGCATCCATGTGGCTGCAAATGGCATTATTTCATTATTTTTATGGCTGAGTAGTATTCCATTGTATAAATATACCACAACCTCTTTATCCAGTCATCTGTTGATGGACATTTAGATTGTTTCCAGGTCTTAGCTACTGTAAATAGTGCTGCTATGAACACTGGGGTGCAGGTGTCTTTTTGAATTAAGGTTCCGCCTCTGGACATATGCCCAGGAGAGGGATTGCTGGATCATATGGTAAGTCTATTTTCAGCCTTTGGAGGAATCTCCATACTGTTTTCCACAATGGCTGCACCACACTGCATTCCCACCAACAGTGTAGGAGGGCTCCCTTTTCTCCACAGCCTCTCCAGCAATTATCGTGTGTGGGCTTTTGAATGATGGCCATTCTGACTGGTGTGAGGTGATACCTCATCCTAGTTTTGATTTGCATTTCTCTGATAATTAGCGATATTGAGCATTTTCTCATGTGCCTATTGGCCACTCGTATGTCTTCACTGGAGAATTGCTTGCTTAGGTCTTCTGCCCATTTTTGGATTGGATTGTTGGCTTTTTTCTTATTAAACTGTATGAATTGTTCATATATTCTGGAAATGAAACCTTTGTCAGTCACATCATTTGCAAATATTTTCTCCCATTCTGTAGGTTGTTGCTTTGTTTTGCTAATGGTTTCTTTTGCTTTGCAAAAGCTTATTAGAAGTTTAATTAGGTCCTGTTTGTTTATTTTTGCCTTTATTTCTATTGCTTGGGTAGACTGACCTAGGAGAACACTGCTGAGATGTATGTGAGATAATGTTTGGCTATGTTTTCTTCTAGGAGATTTATTGTGACTTGTCTTATGTTTAGGTCTATAAGTCATTTTGAGCTTATTTTTGTGTATTGTGTGAGGCAGCATTCTAACTTCATTGATTTACATGCACCTGTCCAGTTTTCCCAACACTATTTGCTGAAGAGATTGTCTTTACTCCATTGTGTGTTCTCTCCTCCATTGTCAAAGACTAACTGACCAAAACTTTGTGGGTTTCTTTTTTGGGCTCTCTGTTCTGTTCCATTGATCCATGTCCGTTTTCTTGTACCAGTGCCATACTGTTTTGATTACTGTAGCTCTGTAGTATGGTATGAAGTCTGGGAGGGTCATTCCTCCAGCTTCATTCTTTTTCTTCAGTATTGCTTTGGCAATTCTGGATCTTTTGTGATTCCATATAAATTTTCATTATCTGACATAAATGACATGAATGTTCTCCTAGGGCAGCCTACCCAGGCAATAGAAATAAGAACAAAAATAAATAAATGGGACCTAATTAAACTTATAATAAGCTTTTGTAAAGCAAAGGGAACCATAAGCAAAACAAATAGAAAATCTACAAAATGGGAGAAAATATTTGCAAATGATGTGACTGACAAAGGTTTCATTTCCAGAATGCATAAACAGTTCATACAGTTTAATAACAGAAAAACCAACAATCCAATCCAAAAATGGACAGAAGACCTAAGCAAGCAATTCTCCAATGAAGACATACGAGTGGCCAATAGGCACATGAGAAAATGCTCAATATCGCTAATTATCAGAGAAATGCAAATCAAAACTACGATGAGGTATCACCTCACATCAGTCAGAATGGCCATCATTCAAAAGCACGCACACGATTAAGACGTGTAGAGAAAAGGGAGCCCTTCTACACTGTTGGTGGGAATGCAGTGTGGTGCAGCCATTGTGGAAAACAGTATGGAGATTCCTCCAAAGG